GGGGGTTTTTTTGGCTGTTTTTTTTTTTTTTTTGCTCAGAAACTCGTGTAGCAAATATCATACAAATGGTTTTATAGGGTTAATCTTAAACAGGTGTCAGCAAGCCTGTAAAAACGGGTCCTGGAGAGAACCAAAAAAGCACAAGAAACACAGGCCATAACAGTAACTGGCCTCTGAGGATCTGGCATCAGAAATACGCTTACAAGAAGGGCTGCAGAAGACTATTTTCAGCTAGAATTCACACAACAACAGCAAGGATGTTTCCAAGAAGCAGCAAGAGGAACTGGGACAGAGAGGAAAATTATTAAAATGCTATGGCAGAATGCATAAAGTAGAAAAGTTAAGATAATCATAAGATGATTTGTGTGTGTTTTGTTTGAAATAAGCGTTAGTGAATGTGTAAGAATAAAATGTGAAAGGAGTTGGAAAAAGGTGCATTTAGAAGTTTAAAGTACATTCAGAATCTAAATCATAGAGTGAAAATGCTGAATCAAGGAGAAAGGAGAAGTAGACACACATCCCTGAAAAGCAGAACTACAGTTGTGTGTGCATATGATAGGCAGAGAGAGAAGAGACACACCACTTATTAAGAAAGTAAAAATGATGCTTTCAAGCCTAAAAGTAAAGTTTTGACTGATGATTAATTTTTGATCAATGTGTAATCAATGATAATCAATGTTTAGTCAAGTATTGTATTCAAAATATAAAGATCCATGTTTTGATTTAAGGCATTGATAGTTTTGTGTAATCAGAGTGTAATTCTGATTGTTTAGTCAAAAGCAATAATGGGATTTTTGGTATTTCAGGCAGATGTGAGTTTCTTGTATCTTTATTAAATATTAAGATGATTTCGTTTTCTAGGAAAGGGGAAGTAGAGTTCGAGGCTGGAACGTAGTGGGGTGGAAGCCAGTTACGGGCAGTAGACTTGAGCTGTGACAGTAAAAAATATGCAATAGTTCTGAAGAATATGACTTTGCATGCCAAATAATGTATTAAATGCAAACTGTGGCATCTGGTTGGATGAGAGGACTAAGTCTACTGACCAGAGTCCTTTAAAGACCCAGGCAAAAAGAGGAAGAAGAAAGTTCTTCCACGGTTGTGGCTAGAGGTTGACTATGTGACTTCCAGAATCCACCCAGCCTGGTGGGGGAAAGATGGCTTGGAAGGAAGACTGTTGTGTTGGACATTTTCATGTCTTTATGTTTTCAACCAACCAAAATTGAACAAATGATTGATGCGGTGACTGAAACATTACTGTTTTGGGAATTTCTGCATCTGAAAGGAGGTAACAGTAGTTCTGTCGATGCGTGACAAACGGTGAAAGTGTTTATTTGTCATATGACCAGTTAGGAAACGTGTTTCCCTGTACAATGGAATTCTTATTTTGCCATCCACATGAATGCTGCACAATACAAGTGAAATGTAAAGTAGATAAATAAGTAACACAAAATCTAAGGCACTTTAAGCAGCAAAAAACATCTGAGAACATTTTTTAATTTAGTTTTCTTATTCTATTTTAGTTTCTTAAATGGCATGGCATTCAATACTAGGTGAGAGAGAAACAGTAATTAGATTTTTCTGTATGTCCTGCACATATAGTGAATTGACAATACAATCTATGAACCTTAAAAATGTGGTCAGCTCATAAACTAAAATGTAAACCACTTCACCCAGCGACAATATTAAAAAAGATGCTTACAAATCAATGCACTGGTAATCAACAATATAATGTAAGATCATATAATTCTCACTAGATACTCATCACAGTATTTAAGCTGTGCAAATGGTTTCATTCAAACTATTAGCATACAATTAATACTCATTATTTAAAACCAGATACAACTGAGGGTAAGTTGCTAATTTTCTTTCTTTCTTTTTTTTATTAACTGGCCCTTTAAATCTGGACAAACTTAAAATCCTCTCTAGCTTTGGAGGTGATACTTGAATGGATAGAGTTTGTTTACCAGGTAATGCAAATCAATAGAAACTAAAGGCAAAGATAAAAAGGGAGAGTTTCCATAGGGGGGTCCACCTTAACTCCTTCAATTGTCATGTCAATGGCTGATAAATGGCCCATCCCTTTGTGTTGTTTGAAATAAGGTTTGCAGTCAGGCCTACTGTATGCTAGCGATACATGTCTAGCTGTCATAAATCAGAAAGAACCCTAAAAACCAGGTGAAGCAGAAAATAGTCTGAGGAAGTGTGCACAAGTTTCTCCTCTGTCTAAACAATAGATGCTGCACAGCCAACAAACCAACCCCTGAGCCTGGTCAGATGGTAGCATGCTAGGATGAGATGCTGACCCCTGGAGAGTTTTGGAGGACCCTTAGCTTCCTGCCATCCGGTCTTGCAGCACTCCTCCCTGCAATCTCAGGAGGATGACAGACCTCATGGACAGGATAGGATTCATCAGGCCAAGCAGGAAAGGCAAAGGGGGGGGGTGGGCAATGTAGAGGTTCCTGATCTGGGATATCCTGTCTTTCAGAGGCATCGCTCTGCCAGGACATCATTTTGCAATAAATGCATATTCTACCTGAGTTCTTGAGGGGCCATGGGTGCTTCTGTGTGAGGAAACAACCAAATTATGTGACAAGTTGTCCTCTTATAGCTGTTACAAACTGTGTGACAAAGAAATAAGAGAAGACTGGTCAAAACATACATTTAGTGGCAGACATGTGACATCTGACAAATCAGCTGTCTCTCTCTTCCTCACCTTCTGTTTTAAACTTTCTCTGTCTCTCCTGAGGTGGCAGGCATTTCAAAGGCATTCACACAAGACAGCCATCGTCAGTGGAGACACGTCGTTTCCGCAGCAAAAAAAGCGAGGAAGTGCCCAAGCTTTTGGTGACTCCGGATCTTTAGGCTATGTGTGACTCCAAGTAGATCATCCTCTTCACAAAGCACAAAGTGGCCCTTCATCCCCTGCTCTATCCTCTCCATTGTGCATCCTTCCCTCCCTCATCCCTAAATGGATGCCCTGTCATCTGCAGCAGCACCAAGCCAGTTCAGAGGCTCAGCTGCACTGATTTAGGCATCACAGTTAAAGATGCAAGTTGCACAGATGAGCACACATTCGAAGAAGAAATTACATAAGAACTCCAGAAAGACCATGTGGTATGCTTTTCAGTGATTTTGTTAATACCTGGTGTCGTAATTGTAGCTTTAATCCGATGACATATGAATCTGCAGAAAGACAAGTTATGATACAGAACTTGAAATGTAGGGAACCATCTAAATGCATTTGTTTTAATATAGAAAATGTGTCAGACTTCTTCTACACACATACTTTTAGTTTTTCCACCTACACAGGCTGTCTAAACAAAAGAGGAAAAAGAAACAGCAAGTAATGCAGGTGAGTATTTTCTTTGTTTCAGCGGCTGTGCTTGGTTTAGTGCACGGTTACTGTCTGTGAAATAAACCTTTCTTAAAAGCCTTCTCTGTTCTCTATTCATGCTGTCCTCCTCCATAACAAAATCCTCTGGAGGAGGAGGAACCGACGCTAACCACCTGTGAGGAAGATGCCCCCGAGAAGTCAGTGGGCCCTGCCAAGCCTGAGAAGTAGGATTATGTCGCTCCCGCAGAAGTCAAGAGGTCAGTCCAGTTATTTCTTTATTTTTATTTTTTCAATCTCCAGCTCTGTTTTCCAACCACGTGTTCTTCATGCTACCAGATACAGTCACTGTCAGGTTCTCTGGATTTGTT